TGTAAATTGTTTTTGATGTTCCACGTCCTGACAACTTTTATTGCCCCTTTTCTACGACATTTACTCTTATGTCTCTATTAAGGGTTCTTACCACAAACAAAAAATGGATGTGCGGGTTGATATGTATTTTTTGACTGATTTTGATTTGAAATGACATAAATAATAAATCCCTGAAATATAAAGAAATCGTAGGTTTTCCTTGGTGCTTAGATATGAGATTTTGTTTTGCCTTCTATATAATTCCATACAAAATTTTGCACAATTTTTTAACTTTATGACAAAATCTTATATAATTCTCCCACTCTACTTGGTAAACATTATTCAGGTTGTTAATATAAATGTAAATCTATGAGAAATAATGTTGATTTCTGAAAAAAAGTTTGTTTGTGTTATTTATCCTTAATGTATGCAAAGAAGTAATGAATAAACAACAGAACATCGTCAAGTTTCTGTCAAGGCAAAAAGTCAGATTCTCCCCCAGTTTTAAACAGTTACTATACTTTTATGATTTTTATAATTTAATAGATTTTTATTTGCTCTCAGACGAAATGATGATGTCAAATGCAAATAAAGTTTTGAATACTTTTCATTAAAAAGGATTGACCTCACGGTTCAAGTAAATAATCTTACATTCTTGCTTTGAAGACAAGCTGTATAGATTTCGTACGATTTCTGAGAGAATTACAAAACAATATTGATTTAAACAAAATACACCTTCTTTTGAAATAAAAGCTAATTAACTTAGAAAAAGAAAGTTATATTGTTTAATGGACGTTGAACGTGAATACTTTGTTCACTTTGTAATCTCTATATACTTTCATTTTACTAATTTACTTATTAATTTATGTAATTTCTTCGTTTGTTTATTCATTTATCTATTTATTTTTTCAATTTGTTTATTTATCTTAATGAATTAAGATGCATTTGTAATTATAAGGTTTGTTGATGTTAATTAATAGTTATAAAACAAAATTAAAAGAAACCATGATCAAGGAAGATGGAAGTGGAGCTTAAAATACCACTTGTTTATATTTAAATGTGCTTTTGATGCATAGATGGGCGTTTAAGAAAATAAAATAGATGAAAGAAAATATGTAATTCACCTCAAAGCATATGTTTATTGTCAAGTTTCAAGAATCTTCTTGTTAAAAAGATTCATATGCAATGTTGCAGAACAGGAAAATGCATTTAAATGTTTTTTTCATGTAATTAGTTTTAAAACAACAACAAGGAGGTCTATGTTTTGATGTCCAACGAAACTTCCCTATTCTAAATTAACGTAAGGAATAAACAAATCAACTGAGGCAAATTGAACATGAAAAATATCAAACATTATAGAGAAAAATTTTTTTTTTATCATATTTCATTTATATTTATCTACTTAGTAGTTAATGAAAATAATAAACTCTTATTTCCGCTTTAAAAGCAGAGTTATTAATCAGCGTATATATTTATATTTGTGATTTGAAACAATTCATTTCCCGATTCCTAATAGTGCATTAAAATATTCGACTAAATTTTTGATGATAATTTCTTTATAAAATCAAATTCTATAAATGACATATTGTCATAAAAATTTCCATCTGTTACATGTACTTGTGTTTTTCTGGATCTTTTGCACAGAATTTCTTTTTAATTACTTTTTAATTTTCTTCCTGACCGACAAAGATGTCCTTAAAATGTGTTTATGAACTCAAATGGTAAAATTACTTATTGGTAGTCTGATTAAAGCCTTATAACTGAACTTCTGTGGCTTCCACAAACTGATGTCTATATATAACAAATTAAATTAAACATACCTAAGATAAAAAAAAATCTGATTTAAGATTTTGACAAAAGCATAAGCTGTTATATTATGATTCTGCAACCAAAAGTTGTCCACATTAAAAATCAAATATAGCAGTCCAAATACATACAGAAATGCAAATATCTTATTCATCATTCAACATGCAGGATAATGGATCATCATAATTCAAACAGAACGTGTTATTCAAAATATTATACAATAAGGTCAAATTGTAATTCCATCACCTATATATTTTCTGTAAGTGATAGATTAACGTTTTAATTTCCATAATCTAAATGTGAAAGTGTTCGTGTCCGTTCTACACCAATTAGTTCCTGACAGGAAAACCGGAGGGGACTATAGGTTTCCTCTAAGTATGTCCTGCCGTCTGCCTGTCTAGCCGTCTAGCTATTCCTCTGTCTGTCTCACTTGGTTTATCACATTTTTTGAGTTGAATGTTGGTGAATGTATCTTGATGAGGTACAGAACAAGTTTGCATTTTGCTTCGCTTCATTTATTATGACGGAGTTATTTATTTTTTGACGGGTCACACCCGCTCCTTGTCATGTTTGGGAAAAAACGGGAAAAAATCGTCAAAAACCCAGTGTGTAAATAATATGAAAATGTGAAAAAAAAATGCACGACAATTAAATCTGCTTTAAATCAAATTGCTTAAAATTTCTATTTATTTAAGAATACTTTGGTAAACTAAAACTAATAAGGGTTCTTATTCATAAAAATTAAGCGTACACGTATTATTAGTACATTTTCCTAGAGATTGAAATTTTTAGTTTAGCATATTGCCTAGCATCTTGAACAAAACTTGACAATTTCTCAACATCTCTTGAATATAATACCAGCATAAGCCTTAGGTTAAGAATCGTTTGAACCTGCAAGCATATCTCTTAATATATTTCAAAGAACTTATCACATGAAGTTTAAGAAATTTTACAAAAAATTAAATAGCAAAATGAGTATTAAAATCAATGAAAGAAATCATAATCTAAATGTATATCCTTTTATTACCTGGCTTTAATCAAGACAATATCGATTTATTATCTAAAATCTTTTGAATATGACGTCATTTTCAATGTAGAAGATAGTCGAAAAACAATTTTATAGGAACCTGAAATTTAGTTCTTTAAATAAAGTTATTTCAAAAAAGTCTAAATTTTTTGATGTTACGTAATAATGGGATTTTGTTTAGAAAGTTTACATCAGTAGAAAAAAGATATAAGTGAAAATGTTCTAAACAAAAATAAACAAATCCACTTAAAACATTTTTATATAAATATAAACAACAACAGCCCCACTGACAAAGGTCAAACTTTTGAATGTCTTAATAAATCAAGGATTCTCATTCATAATTTGATAAAGGTCAACAAGATATGTATTTCCCAAATAAATAATTGTATCTGATTCTTATTCTGTAGGTTATCATTCATTCTTGACATTAAGTTTGAAATGTTTTTATCGTCTCAAATACATTCCGAAACAGATTTAGCGTACAAGTTTCTGAAATTTAGGGTCAGCAATCAATCACTTTTTTCAAAACAAATTATCATTGGCTCTAAATAGCCACTAAATTTTATCTTCAAAAAGATGATCATAAATATTTATTTTCCTGCTTAATCTCGGTAGAGCACATGTAAATCGTTAATAAAAGTATGGTCAATCCTCTTTTAAATGTTTCCCAGGCTTAAACTTTGATAAATGTGTTTTTCCTGTAAAAATATTTCATTTCCTCATAGTTATACATTACAGTTTAAACAAATTGACAAGTATAAATAATGCCAGTTTCCCTTTTATGGTTTATAAATACAACATGTACGTGTAGAACATATTGTTTTTGACGCTAAATGAAAAGGATATATTTAGGGTATGCTTCATCTTTCTATAGGCAACTGATCCTACTTCCGGAAAAAAGGGGATGGGATTTTAAAGCCTTATCCACATATTTTTACCGGATATAGATTTTTAATATGACATTGATCACTAATCGGTATCCTCACAATTCACATTCTGCGAAGTGTTGAAACATAATTATTTTATTTTCAAATTCTTAGTTTTATTATTTAAAAAAAATAAATGAAATGTCAGATAGAGGTTTGCATTTTATGTTTTTTTTAAATAACGACTTTGGAAGGAACAGGTTTGTTACAATGCAGAATGCGCTGTCACAATGGTGTTTTCTAATGCATAAGAAAAACAATTGAAAGGCAATATGCTTAAACTTTTTTTTAATTAACTGCTCAATGGCTCTGCGAGCCGAGTAAATATCAAAATTTCATTTTTCCACCAACAAGTAGTGACTTCATCATATGAGTCAAAACATTTTGAATAGGCCTTTAGCAACAAACATATCATAAGTTTGCCAGTCCTGATACTTCTGAAATTCATCTCTCATTCCTTACAATTTCAGGTACATGAGTACCGGAACTTTTCTTCATTTTTCACAATTATTAGCTTTATTAATTTTCTCCCTATATTTTCTTTTGTATTCTTCTTTTCCTAATTTATAAAGTACCTCACATTTTCCTTAATCTTTTATTGAACCACGCACATTTCACAGCCGATGGTCTCTGTGAATAATACATTTTCCCGCCTTTTCATACACAATCAAGTATGACATGTACAGTCTGTTCAAATAGTCATTTAAAAGAAAAAAATGATTTACGGATTATCATCCCAGAACAGCATTCATGGAATGTTCAAATTTTATAAATGCAAGAGTATTAGATTGGCATATGATAAAAGACTAGGAAGTATAAAGAATACTAGGGAAAAGTTTTGATTAGTTTAACTAAATTCAGCATTGAACTCTGTTTCAGGTTAGTATTGTGTGAGAACAAATACAGATTCATTTGTTTTTAAATAGATTTTCCCCCGATCATGAGAAGTCGGATGTGACAAGTTGGCAAGCAATACTAACTCCTCAATGGTACATGATCCCAAATATGTTTTTTTTACATGTTGATGTTTACTCTGCTCATGGTTCGTATAGTTATAAATTGACTTTTTTTTTAGCTCGAGTACAATTAATCTCCATATATTTCTTTTGGAAATACTTTAAATTGCTTTTTATGCAATCAGTTATTGTACTCTTACCAAATAACATAAAATCGAAAGATAAATGGTTTCGTTTGTGATTATTTTTAAGAAGATTAATTGTTTTATAGTTTAAGATTCCAAATTTATCTTACGTAAAAACCCCTTCTCATGTGCATTAGCATATAAAAGATGATTGTTTGTTGTTCAGGCTTAGACATCGTGTGCTGCATAGCTTGGTTGAGACACTAAGGTATGTTTTACTTTATTAAAGCATTAATTTCGATTATATTTCTAATTACAATTTCATGCGCTTAAATGACAGTAAATGATTACAAAAGTTAATAAAACAATATGAGCTGCAACTTTGATGTCAGAATTTTTTGTTGCAAATTGAAAATAACTATTTCAATTACAAAAAAAATTATAAATTTTAGTTGAAATTTGCTGTGAAAGAACTATTTATCAGCTTTGATTGAATCAAAATGACATTATTGTCGTCTTATAAAATTATGATTTTTTTTTCCAACAACACTGTATATTCGATTGAACAGGGGTCTTATTTTTTAATTCTATTCTTTATTTTAGTGTAATTGATCATAACTGTTTAGATTACACATTTTAACAGCAAGTATTTTTTTCCAACATGCAGCTGATATTGCTTTAAAATATGAAGTGTTTAAAAGAGTGTAACTATTTAAGGCTTGCTGGTCGTAAAATAAGAAAAGACTTGATTCAAACTTTGAATATTTTCAGGAATTTTTACAATTATGCTAAAAAAAAATGCAAATTGCTTAAACTACAAACATAAAAAGGACATTTTGTTTCAAACATGATACAAAATTTTAACAAGTCTTATTCTCAGTTTTATGGACATGGGATCATGCTTAAATTATTTTTAACAAGGAATTTGTTGGCATTGTTGCCATTCTTGTTCTTCCTGAATTAACGAGGCCGAGTTAAATTCGATTTCGCATGACTTTTGCACAGCCTTTTAATATTACACAGTCATAAGTGCGGCAGTACACTTTTCCAAATTATTGTGATTTTGATATAAAATTAACAATATCTAAAACACCTACTGGTCTGAAAATGTGATTTTACAACAATAATTGGAAAACATGTTGAAATGGCTCGAACGAAGTCACTATTTTCCGATTTTATAAGCATTGCATGACCCTGAAGAATGGCATATGACTCGCTTTATATGTTCGTAGACGTCCATGGATATTTTACTGAAAACTGATGATAGAACACCAGAAAAAATTAAGCAACAATCTAAAAATTGTTATTTTTAACCCCCAAAAATTATCTGCTCCGATAACTCATCTGCATCAATATGTATTTACACCACAATATGGCAATTTTGGAGGTATTGGGCATCCAAAAAATAAAATTTAATTAGACACAGACCAATCTAGATAGTTTTTTTTTTAATTTCACAATTTGGCGACTTTTTACAATAACTTTGATCTACTTGACTAAAGAAGAAATCTATAGGGCAGAAATAAAAAAAAAATATCTGAAAAATGTGATGATTTGGCGCTTTTTCAACAAATTCCCATAGGGTCCAATAGTAAAATTTGACAACTTTTGAGATGACCCCCAAAGAAATCGGGGTGGTAAGCATTCGATTTTGTTAGTTTTCAAACAATAAATATAACAGTAAAAATTAATTAATGAAAAATTATCGAAATCCCTAGGGTAGAAAAAATTAGACTCGGCCTCGTTAAAATGATTTGAACTTCTCGTATAAAGTGGGGAAAAAAACTTAAAAGCCACCATTTATTTCGTTATTTTGTTTAATGAAAGTTAAAAAATATAAACTTAAGATATGTAATTCCACATTAGAAAGAATTTTGATTTCCTTTTTAAAGAAAAAAATAAAGCATGTGCTTTATATTTTGTTTGGCTTTAAATATTTTTAGCAATATTCAATTTATCAATCAATTGAAGTTTCTACAAAGACTCTAAAACTGATAAACAATATATTAGAGTTGTTCAGTGTAGATTTTTTTACCGATTTATCTCCCGTGACCTCTTATCAAATGAATTTAATTTTCATCAAAATTTGACAAAAATGGTATGATACAAAAGGCCAAACAGTATATTTAAAATAATTTTCTCTTAAAATTAAATTTAAAATGATTAATGAAGTTATGTTTTGGTTCACAGCTTCTGGCACTAAATTCTTGCAATCATTGAAAGAGCATATTAATTTACTTTAAACCAATTGTTTATTTCTATTTTGTAAGATTTGCCGTCACTATGAAGGTGTTATTTCTGTTTATCGTCCTGTGCCTTGCCCTAACGCAGGCTTATAGTTATTACAGCAAATATTACCGTTCTCCAAGCCTGTACAAACATTACTACTATCCAGGTAAGTGAACCATGTGTTTCTCACAGTGAAATGAAAGCTAAAATTTACTTTATACATATTATATGTTTCTTTTTAAAATAAGGAACCGTCAATATGTTTTTCACAGATAATTAATGATATTAAAGTTTGATAAATCTACGGTTAAGATCCTTGTGTCATTTCCTTTATGAAATAAGGTTAAGATTAAAAAAAAACAACTACAGGTGACTCTCGATGGCTCGAACTCCGATCTCTCGAAGTTCTCGATCTCTCGAAGTTTCATTTTTTTCCATATAACTAAGCAAATTTACTTGTCTAAAATATCTCTCGAAAAAATCTCTCGACAACTAGGTCCCTTTACACATATTTCATTGATTTTTTACTCTCTATCTCTCGAATTCGATTGCGCGTTTACACGCCAATCATAAAATTGATGCAGCCTGGACTTACCTGGAAAACAGTGAATGCCTGGGGCTAGCATGGAGGTGTTAATTGGATGTTTACGTAGAAGACACTACACCAATGGGTCGTCCATGTGTTGATAAAATTAATTTGTTATTATAGGTAAATTATAAACGAATTGACAACTTATTTGGACTTGAATCCGAGACGATAATTTTTAGAAAATAATTTATAGACGTTCGTTTCAATAATTTCCAATGGACTATAAACATTTTAAGAGCTCTACATAATCCCAGAAAGGCAAATATTGCACAAGAAATTCATTTCTCAAGGACTAAATACCTATTGATAAAAATCTAGTGTCAGTGGTGAACACTGGTGAAGGATCCGATCAAGCTGCGGAATTAGCAAAACTGACAATTGCTTTTCCGGATTCATGTAGTCATGAAATTGGAACAAATAAATTTGAAACTTTAGGAATTCGTTTTTTTATTCGAAATACGATCATTGTTGTTGAAATCAAGTGAATTACCTGTAAAATACGATTAAAAACGTGCAAAAACCTTATTTACATATACTTTCGGTGTCTTTAATAGTAGAATATCGATGATTGAAGCTGGAAAATCCGGATTTTATTTACTTTCTATCTCTCGAACCCCTCGATCTCTCGAACTTTTCTTGTGGTCCCTTGAACTTCGGGAGATCGAGAGTCACCTGTAGGCCCTATATTTCAAATCACTAATACGTGTATTCTTTTTTTCAAGAAAGGAGTTTAATTTTTCCTAGTGCATATAACTATTTTTGAATTTTGAAGTCTTGCTGAAAAACACATCTCATGTAACTCTTTTTCAGCGAAATATTACACCAGTTACTATCGTCCTCGACGCTACTACTACAGTTATTATCCAAAACGACGCTATTACACAACGTATTACAAGCGTCCCTATTACACAACGTATTACAAGCGACCCTATTACACAACGTATTACAAGCGACCATATTATACAAGCTATTATAAGCAGCCATATTACCACACGAAATACTATTCAAAGAAATACTACTGAGCGACGGGAAAAGGGTAAGATTTTTTTTATTCCGAAGAGATACAAAAAGCATCACACATTTCTTATCTTTAAGATATTAAGTAAATGAAGAATAAATCCTTACGCTTCTTGTCTATCCATAGAAAAAAACTTGGTTGGTACAAGAAATTTGGGTATAATATTAATTTACAATAAATTATCATATTTAACTATGATATTGATTTATTCCCTTATTTATGGACGGTATAATTTGAAAAGATCAAGCAAATTTTGTTTAAAAGCAATTTCATTCGAGATTAAATGCTGCGCGAAATATGATGAAAAGCACAGCAACAACGCCAAACCAAATATTTGAAATGAGAGAGAGAAAAATATCCGTAAAAATTTCTAGGTGGGACGGGGTGCCGTAGAAAAGTAAACAGCTCCTGTCAATTACTCATACGTGCTCTGAGTAACCTTTTAAAATTCAGAATAATAATACTTGATATTGCGATTACTTAACTTAGCGGAAGTCTTTCTTGATGTAGCTTATAGGTAAGAAACGTCTGTTGGATAGGGGCAAATGAGCTATTGAATGCAATGCAAGATCGACCATTGTAGAATTTATAAGAACAGATAAATAAAAAATCGTGGTTGAATACCTTGCTAAACAATTACTGAACCAGCCTTATCAAGTTTTGAGAGAAGCTTATCCTGAAATGTTACATTTTAACAATATTTTCAACTTAGTGGACTCTCCTTGAATTTTCGATGAAAATTGTTTTTAAAAGCAAATAAAATATTCTAAACTTTCCTTATTCGACATTTCTTATTTGGAATTCAATCCTTGGCAAAGCATTGCACTTTCGACATAAAATTGTTCGAATCATTTGATTGTCACTACTGTAAAAAAATGCCATGTGCCCCAAAAATCTTGCGAGATTTAGATATCTCTCGGCTCCCCCGCAAAAGAGCAGTAGTAAGCGGTAGTAAGTTAGACAACTGTGAGGTACTCGCCATATTACGTATCACTGACTGTCATTGTTTACAGAAACTAAATAAAATATTGAAATCAAGAAGTCATATAAATGCTCTACTTTTCATTTCAGATGAGACAAAGAAGATAAAGAAATACATTTTTGTAAGGTTTTATCAAAATAAAGACCAAACTGACTTCAAAAAGAAATTATATTTTATTGCGTCTTCCTCAAAGGAAATTCGTAAAAGAAAATAGTTGAAGATAAACAGAGGAACATAGGGTTGTCCTCCTGTGAAATTCACAGACTTGACAGGGCCTTGGTGGTGGACAGTGTGCATCCCCTTTTGAGGGAGCAAGCGCCTTTATCTTGTTAAAACAGACAGAACACTCCAAAGTCACATAAAGTATAATCAAAGACAAGATTTTTATACATCAAGTCAGTGATACGTTATAGCTTATTAATTATTTTAGAAATATATTTATAAGGAAGTGAATCAAGAAAAAAGAAGTTTCAAAATAAATCATTTTTTTTTTATTTTCAGTAAATCTAGTTAATAACAACTACAATCAACAAATAACAGGGAACATGTTGACCGACCGTATTAGAATGTTGATAAACGATGAATTGTACAAAATTTTCCTTTTGTCGATTAAGCTTAAGAAAAAAAGAATTGTGGTAATTTTTAACTAAATCTCTATTCTCTCTTTGAGTATAAAACTTGTATTTCTCACCCTTAATTGCATCTATATAATATGTTTAACTTTTTTATCCGACTCAATAGACCTATACATAGCAAAAAAAGACAAAAGAACATATGGTCGTCAGGAACATAGACAAGAAATATTACAGAACTGACAGGGACGTTAGGGTGTGGACAGGGTAGTCAGGGAGCAAGGCTGGATTAAAGCATTGAATTAGTCCAGGGAGAGACAGGAAATTGTCAGGGACAGAGATCGGAACGTCAGGGGAATAAAAGGATTGATTGATTGATTGTATGTTGTTTAACGTCCCTCTCGAGAATTTTTCACTCATATGGACAACATATGCCGGTGAAGGACTTCAAATTTAGAGCTATACCCGGCACTTAGGGCCATTGAGCAGTGAGGGTTCTTTATCGTGTCAACGCCTACCGTGACACGGGACCTACGGTTTTAAGGTCATATCCGAAAGACCCGTGACTTTTATTTTCTAGTGCCAAGCGCGTGGCGAAGGAACAGTTACTACCTATGTTTACATCTTACGTATGACGCGGTGCCGCGAACGAGAATCGAACCCGGGCCTCCCGATCACGAAGTGAACGCTCTACCAATAGGCTATCGTGACCGGTAGGAGGATTATATGAAATATAAGGGGGGAATTATAACAGTAGAGATGCAAGGAGCACAGGACAATGGTGCCTGAAGTATTCTCTGTTTTTAAAGACGTGACTTTTCTTTATTCACAATTTGTATAAATATACTTTTAGGTATTCCAACTGATCTCTTAACATATATAACTGTCATTGAAAGAAAATTCAAGCACATTTATCTATAAATTCAGAATTTTAAATAGTCAATTTTGAAAGAATCAACAACCTGTGAATCAAATTCATTGTAATAAAACGCACAATTTAAATGAACATAATTGTAGTTTATGTTCCAAAAACGGTATAGGTTCTATAGTTAAACATATGATATTAATTTAATTAAACTTTTGATAGGCCAGTCATCCCTATCATTGCTTACTTTTTTCCATACATTGTAAATATCTAATTGCATATAATATCATTACATATTGGTTCTTTCTTTAAAATCTAAAACCTGAGAAACAATCTATTGTGTGTTGCAATATTTATAAGTGTAATGTTTGAAGGGTTCAGAGGTATTATAAACAGTTCCATATACAAGTAATTTAGCAGTCGAGAAATAGAAACATGAGAAATAACCAATTTTATAAATAGAAATAATGCAAATTCAAATAAGTATTTCTGGAGTTCTACGTTGTACTTACATGTATATATAATAATTAAAATAAATGTAAGATTTTATTTCTTTCTTTTTGTGGTATTGCTTTAAATTTTTATGAATTATTAAAATTGTCAATGAAGAAGCACGCTTTTCAATCGGATACTCCTGCTGATTTAGTTTGTATTATAAGTATCTTGAGACTGTAACTTGTAATAATGTCTGTCAAATTAAGCTAAGAAAACGATTTCTTATGACAGGATTCATACTTTGTTTAGTTTCAAAAGATATTTATTTTCAACCAATATGAAATCAAATACATGCATATATCTAAGTCATTTTAACTTTCTGTTTAAAAAGTTAAAGTTTTCAATAACCTTTTTTCTCATCACTGTTAAAAGCAGTAAGATAGATGATTGGCTTTAATAAAAAAAAATTGTCCAAATTGTTTTAAGTTTCATTAAATATTTAGGTTGATTTACGAACGAGGTGGAGATGATGTCATTTTTTTTAATGAAATGATCTATTCTTTTTATATTCATGTTCTAAAATCATTGACCCATAAAAGATGTATTGTTTAGGAGATTTGCATAGCACGAAAGTACAGGGGAACCTTACAGTTTAAATTCTGTTGTATAAAAGGCAAAGGATTGTCATGGTCAGAGCGTAGAGATTGGTAAAGTTAAAGGATGATAATGGCTACATTATACATTGCATCTGACAGATCTATACATATTTATATGATTCATTACTGGAACTTAAAACAATGACTTTATCGCCAAACAAAGCAAACCAAAGGGATAAAATATGCATAAATAGAAACATTTTAATTGTGAAATATTTGATAACTAGTCAGTAAAAGCAATATTTACAAAAAGAAAGAATAAAAAGTATATTTATAATGTATGCTTCAAATTCACAAAGTAAATACACATTTTAAGTATTATCACTAGAGAGGTCCTTAATGTCAAATTGTTTTCCTTAATGTTTTCTAAACCTCTCAATCTGTTACGTAAAGACTGTAACACTTGCATCACAAACTAAAAATTATAATCCTAATACCATTCATTAATTTTTAAACTCAGAATGAACAAACAATGGATCAGATCCAACATACAAGTTAGTATTTCGGTAATAAATACTCACTTGTACGTTGCACGTGATCCAATGTTTTACGTTCATTTCTGCTCCCGATGTATATTGTTTCAATGAAAACGAGCCTTTTTTCTGTATGTTTTTCTCAATATTTGTTTGTTCCTTCTGAGTTCCTATTCTACATTCTCTTGGCAGTGAAAGAACACTGAACGATAAGCCACAACTGAAAGCAATTTTATCAACGGTAAATAAACAATGAACAAATGTAGAAAGCAATTTTAGCGAAAATGCCGGCGCAATTATAACAGTGAACTAGAGCAATGCTCGTTGCAAAGCAACGAGTAGGTCTTCCGTCCTGTTTGACCGGAAGTAACTTTCAAAATGAGCAATGACGTCCAAAAATGTTTTTAATCCTCTGAATTTATGTTAATTGTTGCAAAAGTAAGCCATTTTTGCTACTTCCGGTTTGACCGGAAGTGATGTTGCTGAATGAAAAATTAGCTTTCATGCTTCTAGTGACATATGTTACCCAAAAACCTGTAAAAACGGCAAAAATATGCATTTTCTGACTACTTCCGGTTTGATCGTAAGAAATGTCACCGGACGTATTTTGACAACCCCAATAGATAGAGCTTGATATTTTGAACATCTTTGCTTCTTTAATGTATTCCAAATTCTCAATACTTTTAAAGATATCAGGAAAAAACTTTTGGCCCCTCTTGGTCCCTTATTTAGGGGACCAGCCCTTATTTCGAGATATCATTTGAAAAGTCCTGTAATTCTTAACTTCTTTTGTTCTATATGTCTTAACAAAATATTTCTAAGTAAAAAAAATATCGAAGAAAAGATGTTAAAATTTCTCAAATTATCGACATGCCCTTTTTCGGACCATAGCGAGCGTCGGCGTGCAGCACTTCCGGTGAAATACATATGTCACATCTACATATATTTTTTCTATCGTTTCTGGAAAACTCAGGTGTCTATCCTAAGCCGTTTTTAAGAACACTCGCGGACAAACTGACCCAATAAAAGTCACTAAGATGCAAAAATCTCAGAATCGGAAGTGACATCATCAAAACCAAAAAATGCATGTCTAGTTTGTTTTATGTTCTATCATTCCTGAAAGTTTTCATGAAAATCAAGCGAGTCGTTTTCAAGAACTCATGTGCACAAAATATGTAAGAAAAAAAAGAAACCTAAGAATAACAGAAAGGTCTTCCGCTGAAGACGAAAGACCTTAACAAACGGTGAGCGCAATAGAAACGATTTATTTGAATTGCCTGTGATATTTTCCTGAAATGGTTTGTATTCTTTTGTTCTACATGTATATTGCTTTATGCAATAAAATTGAACTACTGAGTGTGGAAAACACTGACCGATGTCTGATGCTAAAACTTTTTTGAAAAGTTACTAACTAAAGTAAATCATTTGTTTGCAAAGAATTCAACTTAAGTATCTTTTTTGCGAAATTCTTCTCATAATTCAAAAAAAAATAATTTTAGAGAAATTATTTCATTACATTATAAAAAATTCTCGTATAAGTACATTTGCATTCAATTAGAATCCTTTATTCTATAAAAGATAGCTTAGTTGAAAAATATATATTAAATATATGGAGATCACAATCAAATTCAAGATCAAGAGTCTATTAAACAATACTAAATAGGAGCAGAGCAAACGCGGACCTCCAAAACACCAGAGATGGGAACAATTGCCATGGAGGAGTGAACATCCCCTGCCGACCGGTCACACCCACCGTGTGCCCCTTGTCATGATCAGGAAATAACGAAAAAAAGCCGTCGTCAATGCAGTGTTTAAATAATGGATTAATAATTAGTATGAAATAGTAAAAATTTTAGTCCTTTTAGATTTTTTTTAAAATGTGTTCCTTTTTGATCGGGTGTTTATGAAATAAATCCAAGCTACTTCTAACGATGCTAGCCATACTTCCTTGATATTGAACATTAATTTAATTCCATATCTATATGAGTTTTTTAAAGTATTTGTATGTTATGAAGATTGCAATAAATTCGTATTCAAGAGTAAATAGAAAAAAATTAACTACACCTTTACCAATCGACAATCTTCAACAATGAATTGTTGTTCCCATAAACCATTATTATTTTACAAAAAACCACGGAGAAATGCTTTACTAATGAAAATACATG